TAACGCTGTGCATTAATGACTGAATCTGGCTTATGAAGGATACTGGGTTTTATATTTTCTGCATTTCTTCGATATCAAAGATCTGCCAGATAACCCTCACTGTTACCCCTCATTCTCTAAGCTCCAATAATACAGCTCTGCTTCATCACTATACCACACAGATTAGGCTGGAAGAACAAATAAGGGGCATATTAACAGCACAAAAGGAGTACAAGAGCAGACTAAACTGATGCTAGCTTTAAAAAAACAAACAAACAAACCATCCTTTGGCACAGTAAGGACGTTCTTCCCACACCAGTTTGAACCATTCCCTGTGGGGTTCACTCGCCACGTCTACAAACAATATGGTTTTCACCAGTTTTGTATACTGCTCCTGCAGATATCGTATTATTAATACTAGAGAGACTGACTGCATGCAGTCTGTATGTGGTATTTAGTAATTCATAAGTGAATTAATTTAATATTTATTAAATAAAACAATATTGAACATGTACCATGATATGAACTTAGCTTGCTACTGCCCAGGGCTTATTTGGCACACATGACCAAACCAAAGGCATAGAAGTGACAGAACGCAGCCACTGCAGTCATGGTGCTACCCAGCCCTGAGCTGGAGAGCCCCCAAACCGGTGATCCTCCTCCAGGGAGGGCCACACACCCCCGCCTGCACACAAGTTGGTTGTGAGCAGGAGCTGCCTGGCCAGGGCTGTGGGGGCAGATTTAATGAGGCTGTTTCCCACCTGGGCCCACAGCCATGATGCTCAGGGCCCCAGTGTGCAGCCCTGCCTGCTCATTCCCTCCCTAGCACAGCACACAAGGGAGGCAATCAGTTATTTCCACAACAGAACCCCATAACAGTCAGGCTACAAGCAATGGAAGGAGGTTGAATAAATATTTAGGGTCAACAGAAGAGTATGGGTAAAGCAATCTATGGGGCAACATTTTTATTGACTAATTTTATGGAGTAAAACTACACAGAAATTGATGAGGAGCACAAGCAAGTAGGGCGAGGACCTCGCAGCGAGGCTATTCCAATGCTGCTGACTGCCCGCTGCATATTTACTCAGGCTTTTTCTAGCTCTGCATAATCAAAGAGGCACTGGGAGTTGATGCATGAGGAAAAAACCAAGCAGAGGAACAAGCCTTTGACCATCATTTAGGGTTCATCCTTGTGGGAGCCTGTGCTGTTATGTGCAATTGAAACTTCAGAGAACCAGCACCTCCCAGGGTCACCCCACCACCCCCAGCGAAGCACGCGGGCAGACCCACCACTCACTGCATCAGTAGTTGTTACAACTAACTCATCTTTTGCTCTCAACAACAGCCAGTGAAATATATACAAACGTCCCCTCCACTGCTACCACCAGTACAGATCTCTGGTGCTAAACCCATCCACCCAAAAACCAGTACATATTTTACAAAGATTTTAAGACAAAAGTATACAAAATAGCCACAGCAGCTATAGCACTTCCCTGGTAGATATTAAAACATCAGACAACAACATCTTCACATTAAACTCTTCCTTGAAAATAATAAACTTCGCAGATCCCCATTCCATTTTTGTTACATTTTCATATTCTTTGCATATTCACCCATTTACAAATCATAAAGAATTCATAGCTGAATAATGGACTGAGAATAATGTGTGTATATATATGTAAAAAACATAAAACCCAGCACAAGCTAAGAAGAGGATAAACTTTTCCCAGACACAGTAAATTAATGACTAAAGTAATAAAGTTATAATAAAAAAAAAATCAAACTGATATTGTTAAGTGTTTAAAATCCTTTCTAGTGGCTCTGATGAGCAGTCATTATTCTGTTCCACAATAAAGCATGTCATTTCATTGTCCATAGAGCCTCCCCATGATATATAAATAAATTATTTTCTCCCCATTGTCTCTAGAGAATTTACAGCACATTAAATTTAGCTCCTGTATCTCCTCCAAGATGATACGCTACTCATTACACACTGCTGTGTGCCTTGACCAAGGAGGGAGGTCACTCCTGCCTCTGCTACTGAGCTATTCTGCAACCTTAGGAAAACGCCTCGCCTCTTTGCAGCCCACTTGCCCATCCATCTCCCCACCGCCCAGGAAGACCCTCGGCAAGCGCTGCCTCCCCCAGGGTGCTCCCCCAGACCCAGCGCAAGTGCAGCTAGAAGACATGAGCACAGTGGGGACACCACCACATTTCTCACCCACCTCAGGCAGTCCTGGTCCTGCAGCCACGTAGCTCACGCTCCTGCTTCCAGCCACATTTCATCCTAAACCACAGCCCAGCTCCTGCCTCCAACCAGCCCTACGCCTTCCTCCTGCTCCAGGTGTAACAAATCCACTTAACTGAAGCCTTACAGGAGCAGTTCTTCCCTTGTCCTTAAATGGAGCTGCAATTGCTCTCACCAGTGGGCAACCTCCAAACAAAGTGACAGGGAGCGGGGCTGGCTCCTAGACCCACCTGTGGCTGCAATCACCCGTATCATAGCTGCATTTTAACATTATTTATAAAATGCACATTATTTATAAAATGTGATGAATCCTCCAAAGCACATGTCTGAGGTTTTTACTCAACCCCACTTAGGAGACCAGTAACTGACCCTCCTCCTTAGGTCCTCTCCTTTTTGTTTTTCTTTACCAGCACATTTGAAGAGATGATCTCCACCTAAGAGGTGTGTACAACCAAGGAACCCATTTTCAAAAATAAAGTAGGCCCCAGCATGCAAATTCAATCAATTTTCAGCAAATCTCATGCCCTTAAATAACCCGTGGAATGAAACCACCTCCATGACAGGCTTGCTGAAAAATGTTTTCCACAGATTTGGGGTTTTTTTTTACAGGTCATTGCTGATTATTACTTATTAGTAGAAATAAGGGGGCCTCCTCATTTTGAAAGTCCATCAATGAAAACGTATACCCTTTTATGAGTTAAACTGTTTGGAATAACTTTTAAGCAATTACTCAACTCCTCTGAAATTTCTTTCATGGGACTGAAGGTTTTTCCTGTATCAAATTATCTGGATTTCTCATTGACTATGCATTTCTCAAAAACTCACTGTTTGCAGATTAAAGAGACAAAGGAAAGTTAGAAAGGACACAATAGAAAAAAGATCGGTAAAGAAAAATATTTTAAATATTAATGGCCAAGGGGGAAATGGAAACACATTAAAGGCAAATGTGAGAGCTTTTAAATATGTTATCAAAATTGATTTATAAATGAGACTCTTCTTTAACCAAGTGCTTTAGCCTTCACTACTTATTTCCTTCTGCTGTGTCTCCAAGCAGTGGTGTCACCACTCAAAGCCTATGGCATTAAGGAAAGATCCAGAAAATAATTAGGCTGGCAATGACTATGGGCTGTTCAAACAGGAAAACATCATTATATTAAGAATCTCAGAGAATGAGATGAGAACTCAGCTATTTTCAACTGCTGCAAAACCCCAGGCACTTGCAGGACATCGGTCCCAGGTAGGGCTGGAGGCTGGGGGGCCTTGCTGGCTGGGACACAGCCAGGGGCGGCTGCTCTGCTCACACCACGGGCCCTCGCAGGAACTGAGCAAGGCAGCAGGCAGGCAGAGGGCAGGCAGAGTCGGGAGAAGAAGGGACCAGTCAAGTGCACAAATGCAGACACTATTTACAAAGGCAGAAAAAGACATTTCTCATTTCTATCCTCCTCCTCACCTCCCTCTGCATGGATATCATGCTCATCGCCAGTGTGGCTGAGCACCAGCCCCAACCGGGCTCTGAGAGCTGATCGACATGCAGGGGAAACCAAAGCAGCATTTCCACTGAAAAGTGCCTGCAGGCTGATGGTGAAGGACTGGAGAAGCCCGTCCTGTGCAGCCTGGACGTGAACCCGTATGCAGCGTACAACGTGCCGCAATCCCCTTCCTTCTGCACCCGATCTCAAGTACAAATAAACTATCCCAGGAGCGTGCATTTTTGGGATGTATCTTCTAGAGTTTTTCAGCTTTGAAAACATTTCCAGTGATGCGCCACGTGCCCAGGACAGCAGACTGCAGATTACTGCTGCTGGCATGTCAAAGCACAAAGCTGCTCCAGCTTCCCACGCAGCACGCAGCAGAGGATGTATCACAAAACCAGCAATGAGCAGTATGTGAAGCTGTACGATTCCTGGGTCACATTTTATTAAAGGACACAGTAGCAGGTGTGTATTGCACAAACCGCCCAATTAACATATCCAAAATTGTGGAAAGTATCCTTGAAAGGAACAAATTTTGTGCATGAATTTGTGTAAATGGACAAAAAGTGCTAGTATATGTTTAACAAATTAGTCTCCATTTATTTAATTTTAGTTTAGATATGCAAAATGTTTTATTTTAAAGCTGCTATCCATCATAAAGCACAATAACATTATAGGTGAAAATTCCAAACAGAAATATAAAACATCACTGAGAACTATAGATCTCGTACGTTGGATTTTGTGGCAAGAATGGTCCACAAAACTCATTCTGAATGTCCTCATAAGATCCTTTTTATAGCAGGTTATGAATCATCACATGATATCTTTAAATGGATGATCAATACTATATTTTCCCATAAAACGTTTGGTTTGAAATCCGATTTTAAGTGCATTAGAGTTTTTGTGCACTGAATGAGTGAGTGTCATAATAAATTGTCATCAAATATGAAAGAAATATAGCTTAGATTAATTGCCATATTTATTTATGAGTCTATAAAATATATTGTGAAAGTCCTGGCACATTTTTGGGATACCAGCTTGAACTTTCAAGAAAGTTAAAAGCATTAAACGAGACTGAAAGTAGATTTATTATTGGAATGTTTTTAATTGCAGTTTCAACCAGACACAGGTATTAGAATGGCTGTGCCCTTAATGGCCATGTCTCATGTGTTTTTTCTTTAAAAATTATATACTTTCCATATTTTTATTGATTTTATAAGATTTATTGTAGATTAGTGCTGCTTGTGTGTGAAATCACAAGTGGTCCCAGCTTCCCCAGAGTAGTGGGCTGCAGATGGCCCATGGCGGTGGCGGCTCCTCCCCGATGCCCCCCCAGCACTCGGTACTGCCTGAAATACCGGTGGAAGGAAACATCAGAGAAAAACCTGAATTACCTGAAGGAGACCAGCAGAAGGGTCCTCAGAGAACTACCCAGCGGGTCCTGTTCTGCACTCGTTTCTACAAATGCAAAATGGAGTTAATTCAGACAGGATTTGGAGGGGGAGTCAAGCTGAGCCCCTTCTTTTCTCAGACGTTAACTAATGAAGAGGCTCAAGGCCAACTGATTTGATGGGGCTGGGACTAACTGTCTTGGGTTAAGTACTTTCTGGTTTTGGAATAAGCTATAAGCTCTCTGTGTTTCCAATGTACAACAAACACAACTGGGTTTTTGTAAATTACAAATGAAAGTAAATAAGGAAGCAGTTCTGATATCCATGTTTAATAGTGCACATAAAGTGGTGATAACTCTTGGAAAATAAGGCACTGTTGCATGTAACCAGCACACTAATTAAAAACTAGATCCTGGAAATTATAGCAAGCAGACTAGGTAACGGAATAAAACTGTCATTCACTGCCACAGAACAAAAATGACAAACTATACCTAAGGTGATACGAAATTAAAAACCTTCAGCTTGGCAGCCAAATGACTCCTTCACACCAACTGCACACCAGCTGATACAAAGGCCATGAAAGCACAGACACAGCTTGGTGGTTAATGGCACCTGGTGAGCCCAATATCCTGTTCGAGCTGTGTCAGAAGAGCAATCGCTTTGTCAAAAAAAAAAGAATTGTTCAAAATTATTTCTATTGATTTTACTGAAAACTGAACCCACACAGGGGTCAGCCTGAATGAGATCTGTGACACTGCCCAGACCCTCCCACTGTAAGTTAGCCCACATCTCTGCAAAGCACAAATAAGTCCTCGGAGGTGAAGTTGTCACGAGTTTTGTGTAGACGTATCTTCACCGGATGAACTCACACTTTATAGAATAATCTGCAGATAACCCTAAGAAAGATGGTACAGAAGTGTTGGATTACCCTGACGCAGAGCGCACTTACAAAAGAAGTATTTCCTCATTAGCCAAGTACAGTTTCAGAAGCCAGGTTTAGTGATGGCCCCAGATCCACGGGAAAATCCCACCCAGGAGCATGGGGAAGATCCACATCCAGCTTCCACCCGCTTGGCCGCCTCCTGGCACAGAATGGTCCAGATTGAAGTCCCAGGTCCAACCATCCTCCCTCCAACTCCAGGAACGCTCAAGCCCAACTGTTGATCTTCCAGCCATATCCTAAAACTTAATCACAGCAAACACGGTGATGATGGGAGTGATGATAAAAGTGATGATGGGCGCCAAGTGGAGCTGCCGGTCCTCAGAGAAGAGGAGGAGGGCGAGGTGGCAGGGTTAGGCCACCGCAGAGGACTGTTAGGAAGAAGCAGCTCATTGTCACGCAGAGTCCATGCAGAAGTGGTGCTTAGGGATCCCTGTGAATATTATTATCACCCTCGTCTGTCTCTTACTTAATTTCCAGATGAAATTTTAAATGGCTCTCATTTAGCCATCCATCTAAATGAGAGGGTCTGGAGAAGCAAAGTAAAGGCCCATCCATGTATTTCTTTCACTTTGTACATACCAAAACCAGAGCAAAATTGTGCAGCTTCTTGGATTAACTAGCCTATGTACATAACTCTCCAGAAATCCAGTGACATCTTTTTGGATGTCAAGTGTCCAAAGGCAATCAAAGTTATTCCTGACGTATTACAAAAGTGATCTAAAAAAAAAAATCTACCTTTCAGCTGACAAGGTACCGCACGTTATCTCAGCAATTATACCTCGCCCCCTAAATCAGGGTATGTCCCACGCTTCACTGTGCCAATTCTCCCCTCTGTCCTGAAGACAGTTCTTTCTATTTTCTGCTTCTATGTTAAGCAATTAAAATGCTTTATCATCAACAAGATATTAATCTTAATATTGTCCTAATTTGTTTCGTCTTTTTCTGCCTCTCATGCAGAAATCAGTCTTGACAATAGCCACTGAGATAAGGACAGTAACCAGCAAGCTTCATAATACACCATCATATACACTGTTTTAGTTTGTCAAAACAATTAGTGTTCATTTTGGCTTTATTCAGTTAAATCTGCAGTGACTGATCAGTATAAATTATGTATTAGGCTGCCCAGCTGTACTTGTTTATTCATGCATGGACTTGAAGAATTTTCATTTTCTCAGTACAAAAAAGCAACAGCCAAAAATCCCCCCGTATTCTAAAATATAAAGACACTTTCTTCTCAGCCACATTTCTGCTACATGTTTTTGAAGCTGCTTTATTCTTACCCCTTTTAGAACATTATTCTTCCTTTCCAGAAATTATACTTCAACACTTATTTCAATTAACATATTATTTCATTCACAGTTATCGGCAGCTGCATTTGCATTGGTGGGAAGCACGTACTGTTACTTTCACCCCTTGCAATTACCTCCCGAGCAAAGCAGTATCAGAGCTAAACCAAATGATGTTGATTTTAAAAGCATCAAAAACCGCGTTGTAGGCTGCATTTGAACTCCTGCCTCACTTCAAGAGGAACTGCTCGCAGAAATGTTTACAGTTAAGCCTCACACTCCTCTCTTTCAAGAACAAAAGTTTGTGAATCAAGAGAGATCATTTTCCAATTTTGCTCGTGTTTATAGTCACACAGTCCTCGCTAGGACGACTGGGTGAAGGCAGTGTACGCCGTGAGGGTGGGATGATACGCTCGTATGTGGGGAGAGAGATGACACAGATTTAGATAAAGGAAAGAGAAAAATCTGCAGTGACCACTCAGTTACACTTCTCCGAGACGCGGTGTACGAGCAGAATGGAAATCTGGCTGTTGAAGCTGTTTCCCTGCGATGAAAAGAATGGCAAATTGCACACTCCTTCCCCAAAGCTGCCCTCCACCAAGCCGAGTTCAAGAACCTGTTAACAGAAGGTTTATGCCAGTATTTACAAATCACAGAAAGAGGTTTCCGCAGCTTTGACACGGCGAGTCCAGTTACTCAGTGACGGACTGACAGGGTGAATGGTGGCAGTGCTCAGAACACAAAGAGCCAGAGTCTGTGACCTCCTGAAGAGCTGGGGAGCAAGGTAGAACTTGTATTTGTTCATGGGAACGCCACTTAATATCCCGGGTTGTAAGGGCAATTAGAAGGGTCGTCTGGGTGGCTCTTGGGCACGTATACAACAAAGTGTGCTACAGAAACATCTCCATAGCGCAGAGTGCTCTAAGTGGAGAGAGGGCTGGGTTGCAAAAGGCCATCTCTCATAGCTGGGCTCAGCTACAACGTACCTGACAGGTAACAGATTCGCTTTCGCGTTAAAGACTGGCAAACACCATGTTTGCATTGATCTGTGTTATGCCTGTTTTAAAAGTGCTTTTGCGCAGCGAACTCTGCCCCGGTTTCGGTGGCCGCTGTGCTCATCACATCGGTGAGGAGGGCGAGAGCCCCACATGCAACCTGCCAGCACACGCACAGTGCCAGCGACACCTCCCACGGGCTCTGAGCGCAGGCGGGATGAGCTACTCTTGTTGTTTCTTTCATCAAGTAACGTAAGAAACGTTCCGGTGAAAAGACGAAATTTTGCTGAATTAAGTGCTTTAGAACAAGTGGTTTTATTACTTTATAATTAGCATAATTTCCCCACAGGGATTCTTGCAATTAAATAATTAGCAGTAATGTTACCCAAAGGTGTTCTTTAATGCATTTTCTTAAGTTACCGCCCCCGTTAACGACAACTGAAACGGCTCAGTTTTACACCGCCGGAGCGCTCCTCCTTGCCAGGCTACGGGCGATGTTAGAGGGCTGTCACACCTGACCCCGAGCTCCGGGCCAGTCCGCTCACCCCGGCGGGGCGGG